CCAGCCCTCCCCTCACAGCAGTTTGAGGCCAGATGAAAAGCACCTGTCCATCTGCTGCAGCGTCAGTAGGAGGGATGCATGTCCCACGGCTGAGGAACAGGCGCACACAGACAAACTCTGAAATATATAGTAGATGTCCCTTTCTCTAGCTCTACCCCCTGTTGTCCCAGTGGGGTTATAGCTGTCCTGGTCCCTATCTCTAGGCCCTTTGATGCACCCTGTGGTCATTCTGCAATGTAATGGTCCCTCCTGCTAGACCTCCCCCTCTTCGTTTTACGAGAAACTATCAAATTCTACCCACAGCCCATTAGCCTGGCACAACCAAACTTGATCTTGCTTCCTTATGACAAAAGGAAGCTGCATATAAAATTTGATCATTTTAGCTCTGTTTAGGAGACGTTCGTGAACAAATGGATTCACAGGCAGATTCTTATTTCTAAAATATATATAACAAAAAATAAGGTAATTTAGTGTAATATTAAAGGTCTATAGGTCTAAATACACTTTAGAAGCAAGTCTTCCAATCTTTATAATTGACGTGCATTTAGGAGCATGTGAAGAAACTCTTCATCTTGTCTCCGTTGTCAAGAAAAGTTCTTTTTGCAAATCATTCTCCTAGTCTGTTGGCAGTGGCCTTCCCATAGTCTACTGTTCAATGACTTGGGAGAGAAAACATGTGGCATTTTCTCCTTTCATTTAAAATTATTGTATTTGGGTCTTTGATTAGTCAGGGCTGATGATTTTTGGTCACTTACTCCATGCCCTCCTTTTGGTGAGTGAGCTCATTACTGAGGAGTGCAAAGAAATTAAATCTTGTAGACCAAGGATGTGATGCTCATTTGCAGGAGAGGGACAGATAACCATGTTTAATTGTGATCTGAGAGCCCAGGTATAAATTAAAAATAGCATACCTCTCTTCTTCCCCAGTGACACTAATGATAGTAAGCAGTTCCCACAGAGATCAAGGGACAATAGAGTATTTATGTAGTATCTAAACTCGTCTGTATTGTCTCTTCTGCAGCAATTCCCAGTTCCTGCTCCTTGAGGGATTTTCTCCCTTCTCCTAACCAATTCCATCTAATAGAATGATTGGTTAATGTTGATTTGGCAATGCCATCACTATGGTGGTTTTTAGTACTGACACTTGAATTTTAGAACTTTGATTTAAACTCTGTAGGTTCTCTGCAGGCCACCCCTTCTTCCTTACCTCCAAAAAATCCTTGGGTTCAAAACAATCCACGCATGTACTCCTGGGGGAATTCTGTATCACTGCATGATACAGTATTTGTGCAGAACTTCCATTTTCTACAATGAATTAGTGCTGCAGACCTGCTGGCTGCTACTAGGTCACAAATAGAAGAGACTGCCTGTAACTGGGCTCTAGCAGCGAGGGAGCATAGGTGTTTGGCCTGGGAGGGGCACCCTACATCTGGGTTTGGTGGGGGGAGAGGGCAGAGAAACAGTGATGGGGGTTTATTTAGCGCTCTGGGAGAATTTTTGTTACGTATTTGCTGTTATCAAAATAATTGACATTGATATGATGATGATGTTTTGATAAATAAAATATGCAGACTTTTAAAATACTGTGCAAAATGTTTTTGGCACAGAATTCCCCCAGGTTTACAGTTATGTCATGCCCCTTGTGCTGAGTAATCCCTTCCTATGTGAAAGCATAAGAATGACCATTCCCAGTTTCTTCTGAACAAAACTGAAAGCTTTCTATCCTTGTGAAGCAGTATAGCACTGATATAAAGGTAAAATGTACATGACCCAACTCTATGACTGAGCATGACCCCATCTTTAGTATGACTTTAGCAAGGCTTTTGATATGGTCTCCCACAATATTCTTGCCAGCAAGTTAAGGGAATGTGGATTGGATAAATGGACGGTAAGATGGATAGAAAGATGGCTAGAAGGCCGGGCCCAGCGGCTAGTGATCAACGGCTCGATGTCAGGATGGCGGTCGGTTTCTAGCGGAGTGCGCCACTGTTGGGTTCTAGGACCGGTTTTGTTCAATATCTTTATTAATGACCTGGATGAGGGGATGGATTGCACCCTCAGCAAGTTTGCAGATGACACTAAGCTGGGGGAGAGGTCGATACGCTTGAGGGCAAAGA